AGTGAATGCTGCTTGCGTGACGGAAATTGACGGAAATTTATGTTGACCAATAAATATTTTCATTAGTTCCAATTCTTGTAAAATAATACGCCATTATTGCAGGATCGCATTTGCATTTATTCACGACAAATAGTTCATCAAATTTGCATGCATTTTATATAAGATGACATGTTAATGAATGAATATTTGATTCAAATTCATTCGAATTGTTTGTTCGGAAATATCAAATTACATTATCGTTATCGTATCAACAAAAAGCGTCGAAACGATCGACGTGGTTAATTTTAGAGCTGAATGCAAAAGGTGAACATTATTAGTATTGGGCAATATTTCAACTGCTCTTTGAGATGTTCCAGCATTCATAGTGCTAAATTCTTGCAGTGTGCTCATTTCTTTGTCTGAATATTTCAAAGCATCATCAAAATTTAATGATTCAAGCTATATCCAGCCATCAAAATTCTAGTTTTCTAGTTTCCGAACCTGAGAGCAAAAATCAATACATTAAGCCGAAGAGTGCTAAATCCAATAGTGTTACATCTAAACTGGGATCTCCGATCATGTCAACAATCCAGCGTTGATCATTCAGAAAGTCATAATGATCAAATTTGATGGAGTGGATGATTTCAGTTTTCTTTATTGCCTTTCGGAGTTGATTCTGGTTCATGACTTGTTCCAGTAGTACTCAAATCCAATAATATGGCATTCAGTTGTTTCGTCTCTTCAGGATTTAAACGTTCCTGGACAAATCGCACAGTCTGAGTATATCTGTTGTACAGTCTGAGTATACGTGCAACCAACGGATATATCTGCAAATCTTTTCACCGATAGCACCATAAAGAAAATTTATGAAATTTGCATCACCTGACTGAAATGATAAGCAGTCAGATGATGCAAAAAATATTCAGTAAAAAAGAGAAACTGTGCAAGAATATTGAGGTAAATGAAGGCATCATCGTATTAGATCACTTGTATTTAACAGAGAATTTCATTGAAAGTGACCTTCTTCCATGCGATTGGATCGAAATGATTGTGGAATAGGATTTGACAGATTGGATCGAAAAATCTCGAGTGAAGGCTTTTCGCTCCACCGATCACTGGACACCACAGACAGAAATGTAGAGCGGGTTCGATGAAATAGAATAACCAACCGGGATAAATTGCAACAATCTGGAAAATCATCGTTATCACAGAAACTAAAGTGATCAACTTGTAATTTTATATCCACTAAATGAATGTGTTATTGTTCAAATGGTACTGAACAAAAATTTTTTTAGATCAGAAATATCACCGAACAAATTCAGAAATTGAACTGAAATATAATTATATGTCATTCATTATAATTTAGAGTATATTATCTAATCCTGCCATATAATAGCACGTAACATAAGTTATCTACTATTGAACAATACCTTAGTACAAGTAAATTAGTTCATGCTAATCTGAATTGTAAGCACACAATCTGGAAAGATCATTCAGCGGTGTGTTTCATCAATATCTGTGATCATTTCCATTAATACAATCAATGAATTATATTTTGAAAAATGACCTGATTGAAAAGTGCAAAGAGAATCCAATAAACCATTATTGGTCCTGCTTCAGATTCAGTTGTTGAACTTTGCATAGAACCAAGTGAAAATGGTGCAATTTTCTTCAATTGCTCTGGGCTTACTATTGAAGGATTAACGAGATTCTAAAGTGAAACTATTAGTACTGATGATGTGATCAGTGACATTAGTGATTGACAATCAGATGCAGATCAAATCATGGTCTAGCTCAGTTTCTAAAATACCGATGATAATGAAACGTCGTTCAATCTCGAGCAAAATTTTTCGAGCATTAACTGATTCGAGTCCCACTCGCGAGGAAAACTTCTGCTTGAATCTGAATGGTATATGAATATCACTAATGATGCGGATAACTGAATCAAAAGAAATGGCAGCATCGACATGCATATATGAGAATGGTGCAGATGAAAACGATAATTACAAGAGTATGTTCAAGATTTGTCTGTTAATAAAAGTACGACACAACTAACATATGCGGACCAATAGATAGGATAAGCAATTGAAGCGAGATGCGCAATTGCCGGCGCGGCAGGATTCTTGATCAGTGTTAGATGAAAGAAGATGCAAAAGAGAAGGATAAAAATTCGACGGCCAAAAGGTGTTTTCTCCTAAAATTTAGCATAAAATTCAACTGATTGCACACATACTTGATGCACATGTCAGCTTCGAACGTGTTTGAAATCGAAGATCGAAAAAAAGCGAGACATCAGTTTTAGAAAGCGGTTCGCGCTCAAGTGTTTGGTATTCTAACAGTCAGATA